TCTTGTCAAGGCACTCTAAAAACACCTGTGCAATTCAAAGTCAACTTTAAGCAAAAATCAACATTTGGAAAAATTACTTCTTACTGATTTCCCTACACTTGATGAAACTTGTGCTTCCCAGGGAATAAGCACAGCCCCTTTTAATGGACTAGTGGATTTTCTACATCTGTTCTAATGCAAATCTCTTTGGTCACCTAAGGCTCCATGGTGGGTAAACAACCTAATGTGTCAGTTTTCTGTAGTGAAGATCACAATTTCTGATCTCAGCACTGTCTTCATTGCTGCAAGCAAAACAGTGGTACTGATGTTGCAACTTACAGGCTACTCTCTTCTAATAATGAATGGGTTGGGTTATTGGCCTCTGGCATGGACAAAAATATGACAATCAGCCTCTTCATTATATAAAAGTCTACAGTGAAGACATTGCCAGACAACTTGCTGAGTATTAGAGCTTAAATATGTTCAGAAGTCAAAAAGCCGGTAGAACAATCCTTTTTTCTTCTTTTCCATTAATAAAGACATAGTCAATTTACCAGAAGAGTTTTAATACAGTGTTTCCATCAGAGCAACTTGTATCTTCAGGAAATCATTTGCAAAACACAGCTTTAGCCTGCAAATACTTCACGTTCATTCCCTGCAAAAGTAACAGAGAGGCTGACCTTTCTTACATCTGCAGTTGTTAATTGTCATCATCCTAACAGCACATGAAAAACAAAGAATAAATCACTGGCACTTTAAAAACCCCATCATATTAAATCTCATTTACCTGCAGGGATAGAAATTCAGAGTCACGAGCAAAATCTGAAGACAGAGCAGACATGAGAAAGTGCACCCAGTCGCAGGGTTTAGCAACTGTACTGAGACTCTCTTCTAGTGCACGTTCTGAAACAGCAATCGAATCTCTCAGCATTTGGTACCAAACTGGAAACATTTCTCTTCTACAACATTTTGAAAACTTTAAACAACTCGTTTATGATTCTTTTCTTAGGAAGATTAAAAGCGCATCCACTAGAAGATTAATTGAAAATAAAATAGAAAAAAAAAAAGGATAACAGAAAGGGTAAAACCCAGACCAGACTAGGACAAACAACTCAAGCTATTTACAAATATTTTTATAATGACTAGAAATCATAGAGCCCTCTTTAACTGTCTAACTTAAAAAATAACAAAAAAAAACCCAAAAAAAAAAGAAACCCAAACAAGCCAAAAAAAATGCATCATCTGTTGACTGAACACAGGGCCTGATTTTCAAAGCTGCTGAGCACCCACAACTCCATCTGAAGTCAGTGGAACTGATGAATGCTCAGCAGCCCTGCAAATCGGGCCCAAACTGTCCAGGAGTCTGCTAGCAGCCTAGCAGGAGAGGTGTTTAGAGAAGGGGGTTGGTTGCAGAATTGAGGAGGTTCAAAGTAATCTATCAAAGAAGTGCTGCTACATTCATGAGTCGTAAAGCTAGCTGGCTCTCAGCTATGGGAAAAAAGTTAATTCATAGGGCTCATAGGGCTTGCATTTGTCAAGGAGCAGGACGTCAATGCTATCATTATCAGGCAAATCAGCCAGGCGTTTAATGGTAGAATCAGGAGACATTTGCTCTCCACTATCAGAATGACATCATAACTAAAGCAGCCTTCGGCGAGGGGGGAGAGCCGGCCCAAGGCTGGGGCTGCACGCACACTTTGCACTTCTGCTCGGCTCGCCCCACCGATGGCTGCTCCCCTTCCCCTCCAGGCAACTTCCAGCTTTCAGCTGCCTTCACTCCACAACTTTCCCTCGCAGCATCTGAAACACCAGCATCTGATTTTACAAAACACTCCGAAACCTGCCCGATCCGAAACTGCAATATTGCACACCAGCCACTCGGTCAGGAGGGGATGGGGTTTACACAGAAGCTACAAATTCACACTAAAAACTGCCGGTATTTTTAATTACTTCAGATATCTTCATCTTCCGTCAAATGGGGGGGGAATGATACACATTAAAAATCTAGTTTCCTCTCTGATTTAAGAAGTAACAGCTTAGTTAACTAAGTCGATTTTTAAGCATACACAAACACATACAAACAATCTTTGAATATTCTGACATATTTAGTGATGATCTAYTCGATCACCAGAAATATAACAGCAATACACATTTCCCTTCCACAGCAGTCGTAAATATACAAGTCAAACAGCACGAATTACAAACTGTTAATCTATTTTCTATAAAAATATCACTACAGGTAGACAGGCATGGTACAAAAGCCTCACCTTGTATAACAACTGTGAGGGAAAAAGTTATGAAAGCAGACAGAAAACCTAAAATCCCTGAGGCTACAAAAAAATCCCGCTATTGAGAAATAACCCAAGAGACCACATAGGGAATGTACAGCTTTCAGAAGCACTTCTCATCTTATTTGCACTTAACCTATTGATGTACTTATGCAGGTCACTTACTTTTCGGATATGTTTGAACCCTTTATAATCATGCAGATCGCCGCGGTTTTCACTTGGGCTTTTGTTTTTTTGATTTTGTTTGGGTTTTTGCAARCAAGTTTCATTTAAAAAAGATCCAATTATGCAAATCTGCTCCCGGATAGGTAGTGAATATTCAATATGATGGTGATACTGTAATAGTTCAATGCAACGCACTGTACTGGACAGATTTATGAGGCAACGTCACTACTACGCTCTGGTCCTCGCTGAAGCATCTTGAAGTTAATTAAAGCTGCAATGTCCACTTTTCCAGCCACCCTCCTCATTCAGGTTTACTATTTCAACATCAAACCACCGAGGGGGCCTCCCCCCTCTCTCCGTACATTTAAGCAGCCTTCCACAGTCAATGAACAATGAACAAAGATTTGAGCGATAGGAAGGGGGGGAGAGAAAAAATCTCCACAGGAATAATCAAATCCGGTTTAAACAAGTAAAAATATAGTTTCTAATATTAAACTAGAAAAGAAAACATTCTTCTCCAAGCGAACGTGCAGAGGCGCTTAGCCAACCCCTTCAGAAAGGGTCTAAAAGCAGCCAGTCCTTTTTATTTCGAGCAGTGAATGAGCCCAAACAAGGCTTCTAAACTTAATTATGACACTTAAAATAGTCTTTTTCCACAGAAGCGGGCGGCTCGTCGCCGCTATCTGTATCTGCCGGGCACATCAGCTCAGCAAACACGGCCCCTGTTGGATTTATTTTAAACTGCACGGGGGGGCGGGGGGCGGCGAGGGAATGCACAGCCCCGCAGAGCGCTCCCGCCGCGGGCGGCCGGGCAGCCGCGCCCCGCGCCCGCCCCT